ACACCTTGCTCTACTCATTGTTAAGAGCTGATACATTTAAATAGGCTTCCCATGAATCAGTGCTGTTGCCGAGTTCTCTCTCACACACTCCCCCCCCCCCTGCTCGTGGCAGTGATGGATGAGCCAAAGGGAGCCATTTAGACGGTTCCACATATAGCCCCAACCCACATGGTGAATGATTTCCAATGCCGGCTTTAATTTATTTTTAAATGAAATTTGCTATTGATTCTGGATTAAAAGAACAAATCTTAGAGCAGTTACTACTGACAGGCTATGAGGGAAATCAGGGGGGACTTGGCGGGAAATGGCATTCCTCTCGGGCATGGAGAAAACCAACATTGAAATGCAGGGCAGCTGATCATTAATCCCATGTCTCCTTTTTCTAAATTAAAAAAGGGCAAATAACCAAGATCTTCTCTGGAATCCAGATGCCGAGAGGCAGATGTGGCAAGAAAAAGGCCGGAATGAAATGTATTCAAAAAGGAAAAAGGAAAGGGAGGCTGGGGCCGCAAATGTCAGATGCAATCCTTGCCTCACGTGGGATTGGAGGGTCCAGAGTGAAGTGGGAGCACACAGATGAAGTGCATGGTTTGCATCCTCAAGATGCTTGCCTTGGTTCCTAACAGGGAGCTCCAATCTAAAGTCATTGCAGGCGTCCGACTTAGAGATGCCCCGTGTATGCTCCCCAGTCCCAGTAGCTGGGAGGCCAGTATTACAGAGCTGGGCATCTTCATATTTCCATTGTTCTTGTTGTTGTTTAGTTGTTTAGTCGTGTCCGACTCTTCGTGACCCCATGGACCAGAGCACGCCAGGCACTCCTGTCTTCCACTGCCTCCCGCAGTTTGGTCAAACTCATGCTGGTAGCTTCGAGAACACTGTCCAACCATCTCGTCCTCTGTCGTCCCCTTCTCCTTGTGCCCTCCATCTTTCCCAACATCAGGGTCTTTTCCAGGGAGTCTTCTCTTCTCATGAGGTGGCCAAAGTATTGGAGCCTCAGCTTCAGGATCTGTCCTTCCAGTGAGCACTCAGGGCTGATTTCCTTCAGAATGGATCGGTTTGATCTTCCTGCAGTCCATGGGACTCTCAAGAGTCTCCTCCAGCACCAGAATTCAAAAGCATCCATTCTTCGACGATCAGCCTTCTTTGTGGTCCAGCTCTCACTTCCATACATCACTACTGGGAAAACCAGAGCTTTAACTATACGGACCTTTGTTGGCAAGGTGATGTTTTTCATATTTTCATTAGAGAGCCACATCTTCACCAGATGTGGGAGACCATGTTAGTTTGGATGGCAAGGGAGTCAAAGGTGTGCTAAAGGAGGTTAAGGAGACTGCAGAGATAAGGAGCCAAGTCTGCTGGTGGCACTAAATTGTTACAGCAAAAAGGGGTTGTGAACTGCTCCGAAAGGACTTCTTCAAACTGAACGAGTGGACAGTAAAATAGTGAATGTAATTCAATGTAAACAAGTGTAAAGTGATGCATGTTGGGGGGAAAGGTCTTAATTTCACATAGACACTCCTGGGGTCTGAACTGGCAGGGATGGACCAGGAGCAAGACCTGGAGGTCATAGTAGAAGCTCAGTGAAGATGACCCAGTGTGAGGCAGCTGTAAAAAAGGGGGAGGATCCTTAGGGAAGGAATTGAAAATAAAGCTGTTGATGACATAATTACATTAACAAATCTTTGGTTTAAAAAGGTAAAATTTTAAAAGGTTCAGAAAAGGGACACCAAATGATCAAGGGGATAGAATGATTCCCCCATGAAGAAGTGTTGTAGTATTTTGGCGATTTTTAGCTTAGAGAAAAAGGCAAGTAAGAGAAGTTTTTAAGTTATTCAAGACATGGAGGAAGTGAATAAATAGAAGTTTTCCCTCCTCTCTCATAACATTAGAACTCATGGACCTCCAGTGACTGTTGGAAGATTTAGGACTGATAAAAAAGCCATGTATTGCACAGTTAAAACTATGGAATTGCTCCCTGGGGTGATGGCCACCCACTTGGATGGCTTTAAAAGAGAATTATACAAATTAATGAGTTGCAAGTGACTACTAACCATGATCACTATGTTCTATCTACCTTCACTTAGTTGGCACCCATCTGTCACAGGAGACAATGGAAGGGTGTGCCCTTGGGGTCAAAGTCAAACCCCATTGGAGCTTCACTTCTGAATTGGAGTTGCTGGAAACCTCAGGACAGGAGGGTGTTTGCAGGCTTCCTATGGGCATCTGGTTGGCCACTGTGCAAAGGAAGTGCTGGCCTGATCGAACATAGCTATTCTTGTGTCCCTTGGGGCTCATCACCATCAAGGAAGCTTTGAATAGTCAATCAGGGCAGCAGAGGTGGCAAGCAGAGGGCCAGGTTGATGCATAAAGGAGATACAAGGAAGGTGACCTGGGGTAGCTCTACCTGGAGCAACTGTGCTCTGACCAAGGACAGATGTCTGTAAATATATCCCAAGCACAACTGATGCCCAACTTATGTTGGCACGTTGCCCTTCCCTTCCCTAGTGAAACATGCATGGTAAGGTGAAGATGCTCTGATATGGCTGCACACTGTGGTTGTAGCCTGGAGTGCCTCACTTTGTGATCCGTGCCACTTCAGGCTGGGATCTCTAGAAAAACCTTTGTGGACTGGTGAGCCAGTGTAGCAGGGATTTCAGATGCCTCATTTTATAGATCAGATCCATCTCTTAAAGCTGGTGACACATTTTCCTTCTCAAAGAGGACTTGGTAAGGTTCTCTGCAGACTCTTACCTGAGGATTCTGGAGTCCTTTTGCATGCAATCACATGTGATCGTGTGCTGCTCCTGAGCTGCAGCCCTTCTCCAGCACTTTACTTGCCCATTGTTAATGGAATAATAGAATTGTAAGGGGTGGAAGGGATGCCAAGGGTCATCTAGTCCAACTCCCTGCAATGCAGGAATCACAGCTAAAGAATCCCTGACAGACAGCCATCCAACCTCTTTAAAAACCTCCAATGAAGGTTTTCTCCACCTGTTATTGTGGTGAAGCATAGAGAGATTCTTCAGAATTTTCCTGATCTACTTGGTCAGTGTGAACCCAGTGACATTGTCCCAATATTGACTCATTCCCACAATTCTGGCACTGTGCAGAGGTCTTCTATCTTACCGCTTTCCATAAAACTTTAAAGAATTGGGTTGAGTAACTGCAGTGCTGTGTCATGACCGCACCAGGGAAGACTGATTATTCACACAGTTACAGGGAAAACTTAACTTTTGCATTGACCTTGTCACCTGAGGACCAAGTAAGGGCTGAGGCTTTCCGTAGCTAGGCTAAGAGCCAGTGTGGTGAAGTGGTTAGGGTTTCAGACTAGGACGAGGGTTCAAATACCCCACTTGACCGCCATGAAGCTTACTGGGTGACCTTGGGCCAGTCACTGCCTCTCTCCCTCACCTACCTCACAGGGTCGTTGTGGGGATTAAATAAGGAAGAGGAGAGAACCATGTACACCTCTTTGGAGAAAAGGGTGGAATGTAAACACAATAAATACATCATCATCAACATCAACAACAACAACAACAACAACAACAACAACAACAGTCCCAGAGTGGCTTAAGAACTGAACACGTAGTGACAGACCTCTGCTGCCCTCTTCCCAGGGGCCTGCTTAGTCCATCAGCCTGACAGCTTGAATAGACCCTAAAGGTAAAGGGACCCCTGACCATTAGGTCTAGTCGTGGCCGACTCTGGGATTGCGGCGCTCATCTCGCTTTATTGGTCGAGGGAGCTGGCGTACAGCTTCCGGGTCATGTGGCCAGCAGGACTAAGCCGCTTCTGGTGAACCAGGGCAGCGCATGGAAATGCCGTTTACCTTCCCGCCGGAGTGGTACCTATTGATCTGCTTTGCACTTTGACGTGCTTTCGGACTGCTAGGTTGGCAGGAGCAGGGACCGAGCAACGGGAGCTCACCCCGTTGCGGGAATTCGAACCACCGACCTTCTGATCGGCAAGTCCTAGGCTCTGTGGTTTAACCCACAGCGCCACCCGCGTCCTTGAATAGACCCTAAAGTTGACCCAAATCTGGAAAGGAATTCCCATCTTGCTCGGGGAGAAAGGGCGCTGTCCCTCCGCTCAGGTGCTGAAGCCAATCGAGCGCTGTCCGCAGACATGGTGCTGAAAGCCGCCGTCCTTGGCCGCTGGCGCTGCGGGAGCTGTCCGCGGGCCGGTGCTGAAGCGGTTTGCAGCTGCACCGCCATGTGCTCCGGGCCAGCTCCTGACCTCTGGGTGCCGTCAAGCGACAAGGCCAGGTCCCCTTGCGAGCAACGGTGCAGAGCATTTCCCAATTGTTAGGGAACAGGGAACAGGATGAGTCCCCGTCTCCAAGCTCAGGAATGCACGAGCTTGCAAAGAAATGCGCTTTGTTCTCAAGGCAGGCAGGCGCGTTCCTGTTAAAAATAACACCATAAATTATATATGGTGATAAATAAAGCAGGAGAGATCTAATCCACTTCCCGGGCGTGTCTCGAAGAGATACAGCACCACAGAGTCTGATTCTGTAGTGAAGGTGGGGCGCCTTGTAGGCAGCTGGGGAGGGCGAGGGGGGCATTCAGCTGCTCCCCCTTCCCACTTCACCTCCTGTCTACCAATGTCAGGTCAATCCTCCACGCCGATACATGTCCTGGAAAGGACTGAGGCGGGTGAGATGGAGCGAAGGGGATAAGGTGGGCTCTTAGGTGGGCTTGAACAGACACCCCCCCCAGCCCTGTCACCAGAAGAAAATATGAAAAACCCCCCCCGCCCACTTTTTAGGTAGTGAAGTGGGTGGGGGAGGCAACAGTAGAATCCCTGCCGAACTAAAATTCACGGGTTTAAATACACGAGACGTGCACACCCTCATGTTAGGTGCCCCCCTTTTATTTTTCAAAAGTCAAGCATCTTTACTGCCCCCAAGCAGAAGAGAAGGCGGAGAAAACCGCCGCCTGTTCTGGGGAGCTGCGGGTCTCATCCGCGCGCCCACTTCCAATTTTGCAAGACGGTGCCTCTCTCTCCCCCCTCATTCCCGCCCCCCCAGGCCAGGGACGCGCCGCCGCGGCTTTAAAACGATCCCCTTGGAGAAACTTTGCCGATCAATCAAGCCCTCGGCCGGATCCCTCCGCCGGACGGCAGAGCGAGCGAGTGAGCAAGGCGCGCGGCAGCCGCTGCACTGTGGCGCCCTCCGCCGTAGGGAAGAGTCCCGCAGTCTTCGGCTGGCAGAGCGGAGCCGAGGAGGAGAAAGAAGAGGAGGAGGAGGAGGAGGAGGCGAGCGGGACGGGGCGAGGCGAGGCAGCGGCGGCTCAGCATCTTTCTCCTCGGCTTCAGCACCACCCGGAGCAGCGGCGGGGGCGACGGATCGGGCGGGGGCCGCCGGCTGCTTCTGGCCCTCCCTGATGTGAGACGGGCGGCGGACGGACGGACGGGAGGAGGAGGAGGACGACGACGAAGATGGGGGGCGCCTTCGGCCTGACCCTGGCCCTTTGCCACTCCGTGGGACTCTACATGCAGCTCGGAGCCTCCTCGCGGCCCCCGCAGTGGGAGAACCAGATCTCGGGCAACGGTGAGTGGACCGAGCGGGGGTGCTGAGCCGCAGGGTGGGGTGGGTCCTATGGGTGCCCCCGCACCAAATGATCAACTGCTCAATATCCTTTCGCTCCGCATAGTCCGCTTTGTAACCCCCCTTTAAACACCCACCCACACCCAGCTTTGTAGGGCACAAAGTCGTATCTCTCCCTCCCCACAATTTTCATGGGTGGCGTGTTAGTTACCCCGTGTTAGTTGCTGCGGGGGGGGCAAGTCCGGAGCGTTGACGCAGAGTCCGAATAGGGTTTCTCCGGGAGCGGTGGCAACGGGCACCCCCTGGCGTCCGGGCAGAATCGTGCCTCTGCCCAAATTGGGACCGCGAGGCAGAATGTGGTCCTTCTCCTATTGCTGTCTACGACCAACGCGTTCCCCCTCGCCCATTTTTAACTGCTCGGGATGGAAATTGCGAGTCCTCCGGTTGTGGATTGGGAAGTGGAGGCGATATAATTTTTGCCAGTTTGCGGGGCGTTGATTGGGGTGGAGAGAGAGAGAGAGAGAGAGAGAGAGAGAGAGAGAGAGAGAGAGAGAGAGAGAGAGACCCGGACTTGGTTGTTTGTAAGCGGCAAAGCGATTGTGAGGGCAGGGCTGGCGGCGCGGGGGAGGTCGAGGCAACCTCTTTTCTGTCCACGAAGGGAGGCAGAATCAGTCCTGGCGATTCGGTACGGGAGGCTAGATATGCGCAAGTTAGGAAGAGAACTTTTTTTATGCGGTGTGTGTGTGGGGGGGTGTCTTTCCTCGAAATCCTTGTTTGGAAGGAAGACTGGGAGACCCCTCCCCAGGGAAACAGCTCTCCAGTTTGGCACAGCTGAGCAGGAGATGTATGGGAGGAAGAGAGGCTGCGTGGCTGTTGGGGGGGGGGAGAGAGAGCCCCCAGTTAAGCATATGGAAGAGTCAGAAACCTCACATCTGGGCCGGATCTGTGCACAAAACCGAATCTATGAGGGGAGGCACGCACACTACATGTACACAGGCACAGACAGATTATTTCTAACTTCTGGAGTTTCTCTGTAGGGCGTCCTTCCTTCCTCTCTGCCCCAGTTGTGGCCACGATCTTGGTCCACATTGCAGGGGGTTGGACTAGACGTCCCTTTGGATCCTCTCCTATTCTACAATTCCATGATATTGTGATAAATGGTTTCTGTCCATAGGGAGTCAGCAGGGTGGAGATGGTGGGCCTCACCTGTGGAAGGTGGGAAGCACCTGCTTCCAAAGCAGAAGGCCCCACTTTCAGCCCCTGAAGGAGTATCTACACAGGGCTGGGGATGTAACTCTTACCTGGAATCCCAGGAGAGCCCCTGTCCCACAGCTCCAAGGATGCTCCTGCCCAGAGTAGCTCTTTCATGCTCTTAGCATCTGCCCAGTTTTCCAATACAGACACCCAAGAACTCAGGTGGAGTTAGAACATCCCCTTGCAAAGCCTGGCTGCTCAGGATGCTTTTAAAAAAACAACAACACCTGGGTGCCTTCCTGGGTGGTTTGGTCCCAGAGAAACTGCCAGGGGGGCACCTTGAACTTTCTTCATCAAGGCAGGAGCCTGAGGGTCTTAGCTGACTGCAAGCAGCCTGGTGGCAGGAGAAGGCATAGAGGGTCTCCAGACAATAGCCTTGGACAGGCACCACCGCAATGGCCTTCCTTAAACCTCTCAGATAGCAGAGGAGGAGGAGGCAGGAGTGTCCTGTGTTGTGCCCAGCTTGTGGGCTTCCTTGAAGGCATCTAGCGGGTTGCTGTTGGATGGAGGGCTCTGGATTATATGGATCTTCAGTCAGATCCTGCATCCTTCCACCCACCCTGGTGCCAGCACCAGCTGGGGTTGGAGATTTTGGAATGGCACAACTCCCTTCTGTCACAGGTTTGCTAAAGTCCAAAGACCTCCTAGAAAAAGTGCTTAGGACTTTTTGGAGCCGGGGTTAAGGTGAGGATGAGCTTGGGCACAAATCCAGGAAAGAAGCTGAGGGAGAAGGAAGAGGCTGGCATCCTCTTTGAGAACAGCAAATGAGCTGAGTGCCTTAAGATAAATAAATCAGGCACCACAACAAGTTGAAAAACCAAGAGGAACCCTATATAAAAAGGAACACCCCCCCCAACCCTGGATGTGGTGGGAACCAGATACACCCCTGGAGGAGAGGCAGCAGTTTGAGCTGGCAGTGTTTGGGGAAGTGTTCCCATCACCCTGCTTTTTTCCCTTGCCTTCCATAACACTTCTTCACTCCTCCCCCTCCGTTTGCCCACGAAACCAGTTTCTGGCAGGCAGAAGAGGTGAAAGCTGTGTCAGCAACTGGTGGGGCTGGGGGAGTTAGTCAACTTACCCTTCTGGGGACAGAGCTGGCTGCTTTCACTGACCCCTGGTGCAGAAATGTCCTGGAAGTTTAGTATCACCCTGTTGCAAGGCAGGGACTGGACCAGATTGCATTGCATATCTGGCTGTGCAGTGGTGTGAAGCTTAGGTAGAGGGGAAGGATTTCAGTGTCGCGCCCATTAGGGAGCAGGCCCCAGGCAGCTTCCTGGGTGCAGCAATTCCTCCTTGGCTTGACCAGCATGCTCTATGACCCAGCCTGCCTTTCCTGAGTCCAGAAGAGTCAGAGACCCATTTGTTAGGGGTTGCTGTGTTTTGTTTCTTGCAAAGCGGGGAAGCAGCGGGAGCCCCAGTATTGCAGAGCCTGCGACCAAAGTAGTTCTGCAGCAACTCACTTAATCACAACCAAAAGCCTTTATTAACGAGGCTGAGGAGCAGTGAGTAAGTGGGTCGTGTATAATAAGCCACTCGCGATCAGTAGGTGAATACCAATTTGAGGAAAGTGCTGCTTGCAAGGAACTGGTATCAATGGCTGTTTAGCAGATTGGAGATTGGCCATTTCATTACTTGCTGGAACAGCTTCCTCCTGGCACAGCGAGATGGGGAGGCGGAGGAGGCGGAGGCCACAATAACTCCCTGGGAAGCAAGGAGCATGAACCACAGAGCTGGCGGTGACGTATTGAAAAGAAGGCAGGGGCAGAAAGGGGACTGGCTATATAATCCCCACCAGTGACACCTCCTCTTGGCCGTCATCGTGACACCTTCCCTGAACTGGACTCGGGCAAAGCCCTGGCTCAAAGGTTGGGGGAACCAAAGGGATGGGTTTGCTCAGGTAGCTCCCCCACCATGAGGTGACTTCAGGCAGTCACAGGCAAACCTGTGAAGGAGGAGGTAAAAAAACCCAACAACCTTGAATGTGTATCTTGGTGGAGATTGCATGAACCTATTCCAGGCACCACACAAGTCCAGGAGATAGAGGACACCGTGTGGAAATGGAGGAAGACTGAAACCCAAAAGGCATGGTGGGATCAGGAAGGGCGTGAGTTTAGGGCTACAAACATGCTAACCCTTTTGTAGCACACACAAAAACATGTGTTTTCTCCATCCGGAATCACTCGTGCACATCTTCCCTGCTAGCTTTTGACCCTTGAGATGTATGTTTTTATGACTGTGTAAGCTGTTTCCAATTGTTTTTAATACTGCATTTTAATGCTGCAAGCCACCCTGGGACCTTTGAGTGAAGGACAGGTGATTAATGACAAACATAATCATGGATCCTGCCATCCACTTGGGTGTGGGGGGTTACCTGATACACATTTGAAAAGCCTCCCCTTGATTAGGCTCTCTGTCCCTTTTCCTTTCTGCACGTGCTCCAGATGAATGAAGAAGGAAGTGGGGATTATGATCTTGCTATATGACCACCCACAGCGTCATTGGGGAGGTGTGGGTATGCCCCCTCCCTGCATTTCTGGGACCACCTACATGTGTTTTCAAGTGGATGCAGTAATGCAGAATCAGTCTGCGGTGAGCTTTTGTTTTCAGAACGAAACCAGCTTCTCAAGAAGCACCTTTCGGGGGCAAGAAATATGCAATAGATTTAGGTTTTGGGGGGATATGTAGGGGGGCGGGAGAGTGCTCCATCTCCATTGATTCTGGAATAAAATGCTGGGTGCATATAGCCTGGGAAGGGTTGAAACAGAAGAGCATCTCCTTTGCAGCAGAAGGTGGCAGGGTCAGTCCTTGCTGGTATCTTCAGGAAGGGCTGGGAGAAAACTCTGCTTGCAACCCCAGAGAGCTGCTATCAGCCAGTGTAGACAAGACTGAGCTAGATGGACTTACTCCATCTTATACTGGTTCTCACTCAGTATAAAGCAGCTCCCTATGTTCTAAGCCAGCGGTTCTCCACCTGTGGGTCCCCAGATGTTGTTCGACTACAACTCCCATCATCCCTGAGCTCTGGCATTAGTAGGTAGGGATGATGGGAGTTGTAGTCCAACAACATCTGGGGGCCCACGGGTTGAGAAAGGCTGTGAATCTAAGCCAAAGAGCAGCAGGGAGCAAAGAGGGGAAGCCCAGTGGGAGCTGCTGACCAGCCTCATGGCAGCCGCTGTAAAAGAAAGCGGGAAGAAACTGGGTGAGGCAGACCCAAAGGAAGCAGGGAGGTGGGGCCTGATTCCTGACATGCGCCAGCAGGTGGCCCAGTTACTATTCCAGTAATAGAGCCATAGAACTGTAGAGTTGGGAGGAACACCCAGAGTCATCCAGCCCAACCCCTTGCAATGCAGGAATCTCGGCTCAAGCATCCCTGACAGATGGCCACCCAACCTCTGCTTAGAAACCTCCAAGGAAGGAGAGTCCACCACCTCCCAAAGGAGTCTGTTCCATTGTCAAACAGCTCTTACTGTCAGAAAGTTTTCCTTGATATTTAGTCAGAATCTCCTTTCTTCTAAGTTGAAGGGATTGGTTCGAGAGGAGGAGAACACAAGCTTGTTCTCTCTTCCATGTGACAACAATTGAGATATTTAAAGATGGCTATCATAGCTGTTGTTGTTGTTGTTACCTGGTCCATCTGACTGGGTTGCCCCAAACACAACAGTAACACCATCAGGCTGCAGAAGAGAGGCCAGGGTGCTCCCAGAAGGAAAGCCATAAAGCTGAAACTCCTTAAGCCAGGGATGGCAGAG